CCGCTTTGGTCACTCAAGCAAGCAATAAGATACGTTCGAACTGTCCCAAAAGTGATATGAGATTTGAAATATTTATCTAGCCCCGAAAGAGACGACATTGCTACCCTTAATCATCGAACGCTCAACACGAATTGTAACGAAAATCAAATACGAGTTTGCTCGGACTTAATACAAAGTTATGAGCTGAAATCTCAACTAAATTGTTCTTTTTCAAGAAGGATGACGCGTTCCTACCTCAACGGTAAGACAAGCGTTAATGAAATGCTTTGCCTGAATTGTCTGAACGCTCTGAACAGAAGTAAATCGTGACGGCTTAATAACGAGATGCTGGAAATCGGATGCGCGAAATCTGTATAATAACAAAATAATAATGGAGTAGATAAAACGAAATAAAATAAAGCTGATCAGGTTATGAGAGCTGGTGATGCCCTTAAAGAAGTGAAACTATGAAATAGGACATTATGAGTCATGTCTAAATGAAACGCTACATGTTTATGCTCTTGGGAAAGACGGAGATTTTTCAGCACTAAATGAGGACTCCAGGTTGATTATGTATAATAATATTTACGGAACAAGCTCATATTACTTCTAAGTCTCCGCTCTGTTCGAGAAATGGTTTCGTAGTTGTGTCATATTTCGTGTCAATATCTCGCCGCTCATTTTTAGTAAACAAAATTTAGTGTACTTAATCTTCACAAGTACGGGGAGAGACGACGCAGAGCTTCAAGAGAATCAAGTGCGGATATGGGCTAGGCGAATAATTTTAAATCCGAATATCAAGTTCGGAATACGCCTAGTCTCACAGGGGTTTGTCTTTCGACTAGAAGCAACGGTTTTTTGTTTTTTTCTAACCGGAGCTTTTTATCTTCTTCATATCGAAAAGAATTTCAAACGAAAACGTGAAAATCTGTAAAATTGCTGATCTTTCCAGGCTGTTAGGTATTCGGAATTTCCTTAATATAATTTCTGTATGCACATATACCACAGGCTTACCTACATGAAATGCACATTCTTTAAAGTCGATGACAAATATCTACTATTGAAAAAAACAAACCTTAGTTCCTAGTCCTACGGAGCATGCTGTGAATAAACTAAGCACCAGCATAACGCTGCTATGAACATTCATCATTATCATTATCACTACATAAACAATCATCGAACCATTGATCAATGGTTTTAGTAGTGTTATGAAGCTAGAAAACACAGTAAGACTAATTTCTGTAGAACAGCCATGATTTTTATCCCTAAAGCTACAGTGATGAAAGCTTTTTGACATAAGCCAGAATTTTATGCTCTCAATATTTTACTTATGATAATAATATGCATATTTTATATTAATGACAGCATTCATTAATAGTCATTCAACGGACAGCGGATAAACAGCTTTAGGGACAACATAAAGCCAACCGAGTACGTCTCGAACCATACAGCTGTAAGCATTTTTTTTAATCCTATTGATGAAACCTTAGCAATGATGAAAGAAGGATGCGTCAATAAGAAGTTTCGATAAGTTTATATAGTACAGTATAGTACATATAAATTTGTACCACAGTGTTGAAGAAAGACTCCTGACTCAGCCATAGCAAGTTCATTAATTATTGATAGAGAAATTCATGATGAGTATAGTATCTAATAATTGCCTATATTCAGTATTCAAATATAGCAATAGATCATGCCAGAATTGCCATCATGTTCACGTACCTTTATTGAAACTGGAGCCAATGCCTAAAACTGCAATATTTTGAGTTTAGACCCAACTTAGTTTACATCAAATACACTTTTATCGTGGTTTTTCGTCATCTTGCATGCCCAACTATCGGAAAACGAGGTAACTGTAATATAGCCTTTTCTGCAACACAATTACTTGCACATAAAAATATATCATTTGTCGTTCAGAAGATACTTTTTAGTAACCAAGTCACTATATTCAGAAACAGGCGCATCAGTATTTTGCTTGACTAAAGAAAGTGCGACTTCTACAGAAGGGAGTAGCCGCACGTACTTTTCTATTCAGCCCGTGGGATCTTTAATCGATGAAACCTGACTGCATAAGCCATCTAGATTTAGAACATATTATCTCTTTATAACTTCTCAGGTCACTAATGTATTACAGTACTGACTCGTGCAAATGCACTAGTTAGGCGCCGCGAATTCCATGGTCCTTCACGAGCGCTTTCTCGTAATACAGAGTACATTGTGAACAGCTTCAAAGGAATTATTTTCACATAAATTACTCATACGTGCTTTTTAAGTTAGAAGTTAGAAGACGCGCATTAACTGGGACGCTTGTGTTTGTAATTATATGTTAGCATCGCTTCTCGAAAAGTTCATTGGAGTTACGCTACGTGTAGGCCAATCATAGAAGCAATATATTATTATGAATAAATATAAGTGAAACGACCCTTTTATATATATGTATTTTGCATTAAAGTTGATTTTAAATGACGCATACAAATTCCTATAGACTACTTTACTTTTCTCAAACATTCTTTTGTGTCGAAGACTCTCCCTATCGCAGCAGACGCAAATTATGGTTTTTGAAGATATCTGCTTTGAATCTGAGTTCAGACATAGTTCATAACATTCAGATATAACTACCTAGTCTTTCATGTGCTCTATATCTACGTAGAGACAACATTTCCACGATTACCTTGATTAAGTGTTGCTTCCAGCAAAAGCGAGATGTTGGGAAACAACTAGAGGCCCTGTCTATTTGCGCTTTTAACTCAATGTATGGGCCACCCACGCGTTTATAAAATTCCCAATGCATCCTATTCCAATTAACGATCCGAGGTTAATGAGGACCATCTTGAAATAGTTCTCAAGTTAAAGTTCTCACTACAAGTGGCAAAGCTATTCTGGCTTCCTTTGGTAACTTTTCGATGTCGCTCAAAGAACTAAGTGACTTATGTCTTTACCATTTATCTTTTTAACTTGAAACACATACTGTTAGAAAAGTGAAGTTTTGCTCATCATGCAATGAAATTATAACCGATTTCTAACATATTCTAAGAATGCTTTTAAACGAAGAACACATCAAGAAGTAGGCAGCAGTTTCGGTGGTGTTTAGGTGGAACTCATGGTGTATCCAACCACTATTATTATACAAACTTGCCACCAGATAACTTCAGAATGCAATTTGGCAAAGTATGATAAAATATTGCAAACGAACTTCGTCAATACCCAACTGTGGGGTTGCGATCCGGCAGTCGAAGCATTGATATTGAGAATAATAGAAGATATAGTACTCTTTCCGGATTGGCGTGTTGAACCTTCGTCACAATTTTTTAACAACAATACTAAACGAAGCCTGTCGTAGGAGGTATGGTAAAACGGCCAGCTCACTACGAGGTCGAATGCGCGCACTTCATGATGTTTCCTACATGAGTGTCCTAAGAGAAATCAAAAGCTAGAAGCTGTTATTTATGGCGTTGAATGAACACAATGGTATTGAATTTCCTCAAATGATTAGGCACGATTCTCGTGTGCCCATTCATGGATACAGTTATAACCTTTACACTTTCGTCGAGTACCTCGAATCTGCCTACTCCTTTTTATATGTGTGTGTGTATTCTGTGGACTTAGCTGTAAAGAGAAACAACACGCGGCGAGTCTGTTATATATACATGTAAATGCGATTTTGTCATTTACTAGCCTAAATGTTTCCCCCGTTTGGCATTCCATAAGACGGGTGGCTTCAAACACGAAACGAAATGGTTCTATGCCAAAACTAGAATCTATACCACACCGTGTCCATAAGTTAGCGGGTAAATATTGTATGCACTAAGCTATCACGGGGACTCACTAGCTGTCAATAGTTAGTCTAGCTGATGAACAAATTTGATCTAAGCTGATCTGAGCATAAGCTGACCTGAGGCTGTCTCAAATTAGCACATATGTAAACTTCTACACTAATACACGGTACATCTTCTTATCCAGATAGATTTTTTCCACTTTTGCTGTATTACGTACACAAGACAATTATAATCAACAAGCTGTCGTTAGATTAAAGCGCTGGCTAATTATATGCCATTTATTTTAACTACTTCATTCTAGCTATTTATGTGCATTTATACTTTCTTTATCCTGTTTCCTTACCTTTTACACTGCTGAAGCCTATATACCATACTATATATACAGGTAAAGAGTGCCACGATATCAACATTAGTCAGACGAAACTGCTTCACGGATTTGAAACAAAGCAGCAAGTGAATTTAGCTGTTAATCATTTGAAATATCCGCTGAATATCGGCAGGATATCCAACCCACGACTCCAACGTAGCAAGCGGAATCTTTAATAAAATGTACGTTATTGATCTGACGGGACCGTGAACTTAACACCGCAGACAGGCGGGTACGGATTATTCAAATAGCCTCATTTTTTTCTTGGGAAGCGCGAACCAACACTATGAGTATACTTTTATCAGAAATATAAAGACCGATCTGTATAGTTCACACTAAGAGAAATAAAGAATAAATAATCCAGCAACAGATGCAGAAAGAAAGGAATTTATTTAGACATCTATGTACATTTCTATAAATTATAGAAGTAAGTTTCGAATTAGTCAACGTTATTAAGCATAAGCTATGTAGGGGGAAGAGCTATGCTAACTGAGACACTATACGAACATGTAAAGTGACAGAGAGAGAGCGAACTATTAAATAAACACTGATTCGTGCTAGAGTAAATTTTCTCATACAAGCTTACAGTCTATTCGGATCTTGAAAAAAAAGTTCAAAGGTATCGTGATAAATTACGAGCGTTGTAATATAATTACAATCAACTACATTTCTATAAATTATAGAACTAAGTTTCGAATTAGTCAACGTTACTAAGTGTAACCTAAGTAGGAAGAAGGGTTATGCTAACTGAGACACTATACGAACATGTAAAGTGACAGAGACAGAGCGAACTACTAAATAAACACTGATCCGTGCTAGAGTAAACTTTCTTATACAAGCTTACAGTCTATTCGGATATTGAAAAAAAAGTTCAAAAGTGTCGTGATAAATTACGAGCATTGTAATATAATTACAATCAACTATTGCGCGAATAACACAATAGACGATGCTCTCTTTTTTGCTTAGACGCGATTTCCTTGTTCAATCTTAAACCCGTAAGGATTTGCCTAACATAACGACATTGGTGACACGTTTAGGTTTCAGTGTCACATTGTCTTTAATTTAATAACTATAATTCACCAATCCTAGATAATCAGACGATACTGAGCCGAAGAATTAAGTACATCGATTAACAAAAAGAATATTCCTTTTAAATGTTAAATTTGAAGGTTAAAATGTGCATTACAGCAAGAAATGTGCTCATTATCTAAAGACATTGCTGGTAGGACTCACTCATTTAAATATGGATCTGTCAATTAAACAAATTAAGCGAATTTAGCGGATTCTCTTTTCATAGTATTTCACAGCAACAGTTTTATTTACAAATCATAAACGAAAATTTTGCAGGTACTTCTTGTATTGTTAGTTTTGATCTTTGTCTTATGTATTATGAAGAATTAACCAGCTTTGTGGTATTATTCCATTCAAGTTTTGAATTATATCCATGTTTCGTATAAAAAAAGGAGAGAAAAACTGGCTTGACTGATTCACAAGTTCTTCTCATTGTTGCTCTCCTAGTACTTCAATACACGTAAAGTAAAAATTCAAATGAGCTTTGAGCCCGTCAGTATAAATCCTATACACTTAGTACTAAGCCTAAGCAATCATCAGGGAACATACCGAACAACGCGTATCCTAAACGACGTTAGTCTTCGCTTAAAAGCCTATACGACTTCTCGAAACTGCATGTCATCTCCTGTGTGGTGTATTTCGCACCTTCGAACCCGCTTCGCAATCAGCCACTGAAGTTGAAACTAAGACGCGCTTAAATACGGTTTTAGTGTAAACGTTAGCACACGTTTTCTACCGTTGCTTTTACGTAGCTAAATATTTATTATTGACGAAGCTTGACACACAGCAGCAATCATTAAATAAATAACGTGAATCGAAACTTCCTCTGCCCACGGTTTAATGTTATTGTCAAGCTGATCCCCCAGCGCCCATATTGACACCGTCCATATTCAAACGCTTTTTGGCATCTTCAACAGCCTCCTGGTTTACGAGCACTTCGACATCGTCCAGGCTGACATTATCCATCTCTTTTGTGAGCTCCTTTTTTTCTTCTTCGCCCGCAAGCGTATCAGAAGGTCCGTTCCACACGAGATGTTGCCATGAAACTGCTTCGGCTTTCTTCATTGCGATCTCGACCTTAGAGCCGAAAAAGTTCACAGACGATGAGGCGACATCGACAATCTGGAAGAGCCGATAACTATAAACATTAGATATTTCGAGTTTTTCGTTAGCCAATTATGCCATTAGAGTCTTCAAATAGGATATACACGGATGAGCGCCTATAATAATAATAATAATTTATTATTATTATATTACTGTTAGTTGCCTTAGCCAGCTACCACCGGACAACAGCAAAATTCCAAATAGATCGTTCCACGTTCGTATGAACTACAGTTATATCAGTATATGGACATGAGTAGCCATGTATGCGCCAATCGACGTGTTATTTTCGCTGAATAAATCCTTACGAGATATATACGAAAGGCGAACTTACCCCTCCAAGTATGATTGTCTTCTCAAAAACATTGCGTTCGGCACCGAAAACAAGATGAATTCTGCACTTTACTGGATTGAGCTCAACGAAAGATTTATCTGGGATCGATGTTTTAGCAAACACCGATATGACAACATCAGATCCCGTTTGATGCCAATCGTATCGGCACGTCACCGCCTGTTCCGTAATTTTCTGGAAAACACAAGTATATACACAAAACAAAATGCTTTCAAGTCTTCCAAAAATATAAGTATTTCAGTAGATTAATATACGCCTGGATGTAAAAGTTTTTTTGTTCAGCTTATAGCCAGATTTTTCGGGAAGTACGAAGGCACAATATAGGTTCAAGTATCTATATAACGAATATACTTTCTACATTACGCAAAAGATAGCAAGTGTAATAAACGAGAACCTGAAGCTTACAGTTACTTGTCTAAGGTAAGTTGTCCGCCTGTTGAGAAATAAATGAAAATGAATGCAATATTTTGTTTTCACACTGGTTTTCAGCGCTGAAGTCCGCAAACGCTGCAACTTATTCTGTTCCTCTCAGTCTGCTCTTACTGAGAGCTTACTATATTTGTAGGGTAGATGCCTGCCCAGAACTGCACCATATAGCACAAACTGAATTTGTACGAACGAGCTGTGAGATTAATTCTGACTGACAGAGTTTTTACGTCCAAGTGTTAAGAAAGCGTGCGCAAAATCAGACAAATTCTACCCTATTTGTTGCATAGAATTAATACACAAATAATTTAAGCAAACAAACAGAAATTAAAACGAGACATTCACCTGCTTGAACCACACATGTTTACCGCTGCTGCAGCCCTCCTGATCAAGAAATGCGGCAAAGTCCGATGTCTTCCGTTGGCAACAACTCCAATATTTCATACCTTCATGAAAGACTGGTGCTCCTTCGTGATAGTAGCAAGTTTCGTTGTTGGTGTGGTCACCCATAAACGTTGTTTTACACCCGGAATTCTTGCACTGTGTGCCTTGAACACGAGATAGGGTAATGTGTAATATGAAAGGGCAATTGATTATTTTCGTTGAAATGAACAACAACCGCACACGTAAACATTGGCAGTCTCGGGGAAACTTAACACTTAAAAATGTATAGTTTTTTATGTTCGAAACAACGTACCGTATTATTTGCGAGGGTCGTAAAACAGCCATCGGAAAGTGTGGATCTGCACACCTATAACAGCCCTGTTTTTCAACTCAAAAGCTTTACATGGTTACGATCAATTTACGTCTGGTGCTACTGACAGCTAAGCAACACTTAGCTACTATTAAGCATAGGCCTAGACAGCTGGCTCCCCGCACAACATAGAGTGTGTCTACACTTAATTGTAAGCTTAGACTAGCACATACCTCTAAATGCAGTAGGCAAATACGCGACATGGTGCATGAACCTATTCAATTTTGGTGAAACTGAATGTTCACAGAGAAACTTCCCTCTTCTAACATTCAGCCAGCCGCAGACATCTCTGTCTTTGGAATATAAATTTTGACGTATTTTTTTCAACTAGGTTACGAAACCGTTTTGCCTCTTCTAGTGCGAGTATCTTTTTTCAAATCTAAGCCTTCTAAGATACCGGATTAGCAAATACTTCCCCTGCAGTTTGCCGTCTATCATTAATACAAACGTATGGAAAACAGTCTAATAAAAAAAAAAAAAACATTTTTATCTGAGGAGCATGTAGTTGTATCCATTTTTTCCACTCACCAAAAGGAATCTGTCCAACTTCGATATTGCGTTCTTTCTTCAGGTCGGCAGTCTCGTTTAGTTTCTCCAACAGTGGTTTGAGGCCCTCGCTGACTTTAAACGGAAGCTTTATCATCTTTTCCGAACTCGACGGTCGAGGCATCGCCGTCGTGGGGGCCCGAACCTCCTGAAGTAAATTAAGGAATCAAAGGCATCCGTTAGCTAGTCGAGCAACTAATTGAGTACTGTTCGTGTAATTCTGCATTATCGATTGACACTAAAATTGGCGTAAATTTCAGTGCGGCGGAAAAACTACTTCATGTATTGCTTGGAAAAGCGAACTAAGTCGAACGCTTAGCAGATATAAGATGTATACCCGCCTAAATATCATTAAGAAAACTAATGAGACCAAAACACTTATTTAGCGATGTTCGTCACGATATATATTTTAGTAAAAAAGAAATACAAGATACCAAACACGGAATAGTCCCGAAATAGCTTCATTAAACAATATATTTAGTCGATATTTTCCTTTTTGACCTTTTTCGTTTTCAATATATATATATATATATATATATATATATATATATATACATAGAGAGAGAGAGAGAGAGAGAGAGAGAGAGAAACATATCAGATATGCTTTTATCCAAACATCGCCTAATCTCCTATTGGATCACGTAGCATTACAGAAATGCTGTATATGGCATATTTAGTAAACATTACGTGTTCAAAATATTGTAAAAGCATGACGTATAATGCAATTACCCTTTCACAATCTCCTGCAGCATTACCCTGTAAAAATATTTTATCATAGTTGTTAGGAAAAGCATTTACTTATTATTTTCTACATTATCTAATCGAATATTACTAATAGATCTTTTAATTACCCCCTAGAAGTAACAATGCACCTATGGCAAAAGCTATACAAGAATAGCGTTATCAAAACGGAAGTACACCAACTTTCGAATTTACGTGCTGGTTGGCAACAGTAAATAATCATAAATAATAACGTGCAGAAAAAAAATAGAGTATAAAGAAGACAAAAACACAGTATTCTATCTGTACAAACGTAATACCGGATGTAAGACTCAACGCATTCACATAATTGTTACAATGCGTAAAGCGACTGGATCATTGTAGTTTATTTCCAAAATGCCGACAAACCAACGTCTGACAGTAAATTCGTAAGCTATGTGCATTGTTACGTCTTCCATCAGTACAGTCACCTACAGCTGCACACTAGTAAGGACGGCAAAAGTAAAATTATGAACACAGAGTGAGACAGAATAGGTTTATAATAGATAAAAAAATAAAGTATACGAACGTGAAGATTATACTTGGCATGTTTATTAGTTGGAAATCTGCTCCCAATCCTGATGGGAAACGTTTTCTCACTTTCAGACCCAAATTGTTCCTTACTGTAAGCCCACATTTGTCCCATTTTGCATATTGCTAATATTCCTAGCCATTACAGACAATGCCGGTAGATTACTTTACGCACACTGACAATAACTTATTTGCCCCTGAAAATATTCAAAGTGGTTTACAGCAAAAAAAAAAAAGGTTCGGAGGCACTGTAGTGTGTTGTAAGACAATTACACAGAAGAAGTAACAACCATGTTTTATATGTTTAGCTTACCTTTGCAACAGGTACATCAATATGTAGGTTCTGTTTCGGTTTAGACGTCTCTGGTGGTTTGACAGAGCTGTGGGGGCCCACGGAGCATCCCTGTATGGAACAATGATCCGTTCTAATGCTTTAAAATGTCACACGTTAAAAAGTTCGTGCTAATTATATACCATCTGCGCAACTGTATAGACCTATAGCAGCATAGAATAAGGCTAGGATTCGAAAATAAGCTGATAAATTAACTAGGCAAATATATCACCAAAACATACCTATTCATTGGAAGAACTATTTCCTCTTAGAAAACGCTATGTGAATGACTATGTCAATACAATTAGCCGGAATTATCTTACTCTATAATTGATGTACACAATACCTTGATGTTGAGAAATTCTGTGAAATCGATCGTTTTTTTGTTACAACAGGACCAGCCTTTGTAGACATCGTGAAATACTGGTACGCCCGGGTGGTAACGACATGCATCTAAATGAGCGTATAACAAAAGAATATACAGAAATGTTGGATTAAATCAATCATTTGAGCTCTGAAAGGCTGAGTGGTGTCTATAACACGCTTAAACGAAAAATTACTTTTGACGCATCTGCGTTTACAATCGACACTCTCGTATGCTCCATTTCTATTTTCGCTGGTTTTTTGAGCGTTGCTAGTCACTGTCGCCGCAAATACGTTTCTTCACAATCGTTACAGTTGCCTTTGATTTAACTAGCCATTCAATTTGAATACGTATTTGTAGCCTTATAGTGTAGAATTTCCAACAAAATGAAACTATCCATGCTGAAAGCTAAGACCCTTTCAATACTATCGTCGCTCGGTTAAATGAATTTCTTAGGTTTTATAACGCAAATTAAACATAATGACGTATTTGTATCCTGTGTGTACCTTTAAAATGAAATTACCCTCAACATTTTTTTTGCCTTTTATCAAATAGTATTTTAACATCCAAATTAATTTACATAAGGAAATAATTTAAAAGAATTTTCTTATCAGCTTATAGATTACTTAACTAAAGTTTGTTGCAAACGGACGCCGTTTTATTACAGTCTGAGGACTACTTCGATTCAGAAAGAATTTAAATTCGTCATTGTCACAACGCATCATTGTTGGTTAATTTGCAGTACTAACCATTTAATATTTATCTTCTTACAAGGGGAAAATCTTTTCACAAGACTCTCACAGCTTAAAATGGAAGGAATCGAACACTCCAGAACAAATTAGGCCTAAACATGACCTCTCTACCCCCTATTTATTAAACAAGATATGGAACTACAACTTGCGACGGAAATTACGTCGGTGTAAATAAAAAGCTGTCATCAAATCCTAATCTTGCCTCGCAGCTCTATACAATGGGCAGCATAATTTTGTCTTTGATAACAGTCACCAATAATTTCGCTGAAAACATACTTCACCAAAGGAAGAGAGTAGATTTTTACTGCTAACACAGACACCCACGTCGGACTCAACTCACCGTATTTATTCTCATTTTCGTCGAAATTCTGGGCGCAACCTTTGTTATAGCAAAGCTTTTTAGTCATTTTGGTGTCGAGCTGAAATATTAACACACCGAGTTCGCACAAAAAAATCCGAGTTAATCCACGAGGAATGATCCCACAACAACAAAACCTGTTTCGTTTTGTATCGAACGCTGAGCCCTTCCTACCTAGTAAGATTAGAACTATTGTTCAAGCCCGAATGCTGCTCCCTCTATGCTGCTTAAATAAGCGAATTGTCCGCCGTAAACGGCCCAGCCGTGAGCGTCCACGGAGAAAATCATCGCAAAGCGAGTAGAGATCTCGCCAGTGTATTTATCCATGAGCGATATCCCCGACAAGGGCATAAACCACTCATATGTATCGCGAAGTTCCGAAATGACTACTTTTGACTGTGTATCGATTCGATACGAACTTACCTCTCGCGTAGATGTTTGTGGCGGTTGATGGCTCACGTTGACTTTTGATTGGCGACCGCGCCGTACGAAGATCACTATCCAATTCAGGCTCCGAGTGCTCTTTTTGCTGCTTTCCACTGAGCGATTGTATCTTTGTGGCAACGAACGCTTATCGTTCATGCGAACATCGATTTTTCCCAGCGTAAATCGTTGCCGACTTAAGCCACTCAATCGGCAGTATGGCGTCTCTTAGTGATTCGCTTCCAGCCGGCGGCAACATTACATCCGCACAAAAAGAAGATATTATGGATCAGGTCAAACAATCGATAGCAATCGCAAACGCACAGGAGCTTCTTCAGGTTTGTTTTTACCGATTCAAAATGTCTGAATAATAACGATATCGTGTATGCTGTCGTCAATGCGTTCGAGGATACTCTCGACAATATAATGCCTTGAACCAAGAACAGACAGTGGGTTGTTGCAAGAAAATAATATTAAGACTAACCCCTTTCACGTGTCTATATCTACCTAAAGCCTGTGTGCGCGTTTTTGAAATGTTCCCGACTCTTATATTTTAATAAGGTATACTATTAACACACAGTCTTCTAATAGTAATTCAGACTACGACAACTTCAGCAAAGCAAACAAAGACGTCAGTCATTTGTGCGTTAAATAAACGATCGACCCGAAACGCGTGCACATCCCAGCGAGTAAACTGAGTACAGAAACTCGAAATCAACTCGAATCTTTCAATATGTTAAAAACCCAATTTCAGAAAATGACGGAAAAATGTTTCCAGAAGTGTGTTGTCAAGCCGGGAAGTTCGATAGACAATTCCGAACAGGTGAGATCCAGGACGGGAAACCATAAAAATAAACAAATACGTATACAAACGAAAATTTTCACCTCATATTCTTCTTTTGCTCTACTACCCTAATTTCCTTAATCTTCCTATTAGAAAATTATTTTTAAATCATCTTTGTATAAGTTAGTCATATTACTGACATACAATGTTACTAATTATGATTTTCAAGAGTATTAGCTTGCAATTAAAAAAAAAACAAACTATTAATAAAAAAAAAAAAGCCAGAGTGCATAGCATTTTTCGTAACGGGTGAAATTTGTGTATTGTAAAGCCTCCTCGATTCTACTCAAAATTTCTTGAAACAATATTGAAAAAGGAACAAACTGACGGTCCTGGATTTTTATGAATCTTGTATTTCTTTTTTGTCATTTTGGCTCTACCTTTCAGAAATGCCTATCAATGTGCATGGATCGCTATATGGATTCATGGAATATCGTTTCACGAACGTACAGCACCCGAATTCAGAGGGAGCGGGATCGAAACTAAAAAAACAAAAACACTGTTTAGTAAAGAAAAAAACAGGTAGCGCCTACAGAAAGCGCCCGGAATTTTGAACGTGCAAAAACACCCGAACCACCTTAAACAACGGTCTGTTATTATAGGTCATTTTTAAAGAAGACCACAACGAAAAAAAGGAACTAACAAATATTAAACGATTGGCGTAATATATCCTTGGCTGAATAATTTGCACCCTGGGCTGTACTGCAATAAATACCACAGGCAGAATATAGCCGCGGTTAAACCGAACATTTCGTCGTGTAAAGCTTTTTAATATTCAATTCTAAACGGAAAAAGGGAATACGTCTTTTTTTTTTATTCCTGACTGGTTTGTAGTTCACGCGCAACCTCAAGTTCGGGAACGCGCTTATATCTTTAGTCCACTAGGGCGTTAAAGATGCATGTCGGCCTTTATTGTTTTGCGAGAAGATGCAATCTGGGTCGTAAATATGCGACGATGTCGTGAAAGAGAGTCTGAAGGTTTGAATGTTGCTGAACTGAATCCAGCTTCTGCATTGATGAAACCTGTTGTTTTATATATATATGCATACATTTACAGACAGTAGTAGAAACTTTGAGCCATGAAACACATTATTACATAATAACTCATATAAGACGAAAATTGGTAATAGATGGAAAAAAATACAAACATAAGTGTGAACGGTTTAGGAAATGAGTGTAGTTGATGGAAGCAAATAAATTCTTCGTGTTGTTCAACTTCAGGAAATGTGTCGTCTGTAGCCGCTTGTTGGCAAAATGATTATTGTTTATTATTGGCAATAAATTGTAAATTAGATCCATTAAATTTAAATTAGAGAATTTTTACAAAATAAAAAGCTTATACAACCATCTTTCAACACTCAAACGTTTTTTATTGTAGTAGATTCTAGCGTGTTACATGTATGCCAAAAGGATCTAAAAAGATCTGTTAGCCATATGAGAAATTAGCTGCCGTGTGTCGAGGAGGAAAATTGTCGACAAAATTTAAGTGTAGGGCAAAAACTATACGCCCGTGTCGTACTTTTTGCATTTAATAATGATGCAACAATGACTAACATGAATAAGCAAGTATAAGGATTTTTGTTTTTAGAATGCATTTGCTAATAAGAGTCTGTCAACGCAACTGTACGATTCAGTTTGTTATTGTTTACGGATAGGTGACATCCTTTACTGTTGCAAGATAGTAGGTCAAGTGTTTTGAAGACGAGGTTAATTTTCGTAATAAAAAAAAAATAATTGAGTAACAGCACCATCAACATGAATAAACTTTTATAAGTGATGATATAGTAATATTAAAAGGACTACTACTCGTGTTAATATTACTATAAAATATATTTCTGTAATACAAATTACAATATACTATCATTACTGTTGACTAAACAGATTACTATTTGTCTCTAGCCATTAGACTCCGAACAGAGAATTCCGTCGTCTGCTACACCAAGCCGTTTATTTTCGTTGGTTCACCCCTTCATAATCCATTAATTTTTAAACGATGATTTTGTTTACTATGACTTTTAAATTTTACTATGATCTCCTTGGATCGTCGCTTTCAGCTTACTCTAAATGCCGTTGTCTATTTGTGATTTTTGGACATTTACCCTTCATAAAAAGCCCTTAAAGACTTTCCACTGCTTGCTATTACTGCCGCTCTGTTTTCAAGGTGCACTTTGTATCACACGTCCGCTCAAGTTATCATTGTCTCTTTATTTACTTTTTCCGGTGAATCCGAGCTCGTGTATCAAATGATTTACTTTTTTGCTCCCCTCTGTAAAGCACGGCGTCACCGACCATCTATATTCATATAACCTTAATGCTTTGTTTCTGTGAAAAATCAGCAAAAATCCTTGGAATCCACTAATGTTTTACTCACGGTCCAAAGCACGGAGCCACGATCTGCAGGTGTTCGCCACCGGGGGGTTTTAGGGCTAAGCCAGTCTGCCGTCTACATCACTGTCCGGACGGCAGACCACAGGGGTACACACACCGATAGTAATATAGAGTAGTTTCACTGGCGGAGCGATCAGAGAGTGTCGAAGTCTCCAGCCAGTAAGGCAGTGCTGAGAGTGTATAATAAGCCACCACCTAAATTAGGGGTGCGTGCTGTTTTGCTGTCCGGCGATTGTCGCTCAGTCTTAGAGCACTAGTACAGTGAGCTGGAGAGCTGCCAGTGGTGAAGTTCGTTTTGAGTGGTGCAAGAATCTGTAGCCAAGGCCAGTGCTGGACGGCTTACATGAACTAGTGCGGATAAATGAACGAGACGAGTGTCAATTTATTACGGTTGAGCACAGCGGAGACTACGTTTGTTGATAAGTGAGCTGGTATCTCTTGCAGAGGCTAAAGGGATCCCTTCGAAGTCCGGCCTTTGGATGGACGACGATCCCTTCTATTGGCTGCTGTTCCGTCATATGGCAATGCCGTTCGACGATAGACTAATGGTGTAATAATTGTAACGTAATTACGGGACGGACTGTCAGAATATCGGAGGGTTTCAGGGGCTCATTGACAAAATCGAATGAATTCGCCAGGCAGGTTGTTATTGTGAAACGATACTGTGCGTGTTCTATGAACAGTGATGTCGCTAGGAATAAGTCACGTCTGCTATTGCTAATGAAAGTTGTGATCAGCTGTTGCTACTGGCCGTACATCGCGATTGTCGTTTCTTTAATGTGGATGCGTGCGTGCATGACTAACTTGAAATCTATATAATAGCACATTCGTTCAACAGTATCAGCAAAATCGGATTCAAATTCATCACTTTTTCAATCGAGCCTATAATAGAAGCGGCCAGTCGTCGACAGCGAAATTTTTCACGATAATCTGAAATTACAGAAGAACAAGGCTACGATGCTTAGAAAGTGTTTACGGGCGCAAGAGTACAAGAAGTAAAATTAGCGCCTCAGATTTTTTAAACTTGCCCAATACAAGGCTCCCAATTGGTAGCAGGAGCTTAAGGTTAGATCCAGCATAATATATTTGATTCGACCTTTCAATTTTACAAAGAGAATGCAGCAAAACATTTGCAGAAAAACACCAGTAAGGAGACAACGTTCCTGACTACATCGCTAATTTTCCAGGCACCATGTGGAATTAAGAGCTTGAAATGGAAAGCAGATAAATACCTTGTGAATTGGTCTATTCTACATGTATAAATATCTAATGTAAATGTAAGATGTGACGATATATAATCTGTGTTAAGCGCGACCTTGTTGGCAGCGGTGACAACTGCCTGTAATAACAGCTTATGTATGAAAGTCTAATGTTGTCTGTCTTTACAAGTGCAAATGTGGCGTTCTTAATAAGAACAGTCTGAGTGCTCTGAGAAATTTGTTCATAGATTAATACGTAACATTCGGATACAACCGACTCGATGGCCACAACGGTAATCATTACTGCTCAGCCGAACATTCCGGACGTGTAGGATAATCCCTCTCCATTTCCGAGCATAACAGAACAGCGTTGACGAAAAGCTTTGAAAAGTGTGCGTAAAGAGTGTGTATTGAAAGTGAATCATACTTGATAGGTTGAATGTCTACGCGTGAATCCTGTTACTAGTGAAGCGGAATTCTCGTTACCGCTGTGAAGACGTGAACCCTCTAGGACTTCAGTCAGTAGACTTTATACTTTTTTATCTATTGTGTTAGCCATTCTCGTGTACCACTACTATTACGACAGCTATCGATGATCTTGACGCCCGGATATCTGATCTATCTCATTGCCAGTTGTTTGACGACTGCCAATAACGTGTAAGTCAGTCGATTTACTGATGTTGGATCGGTAACGTCAGCTATTCTGTCTGCTCGCTGTTTATAAATATATGGACTGCTTGAAGCGGGACGGACGCCGATACGACTTTGAGCATAAGAAGGTATAAGGTAGGTAAACTGACGTTGTTTATGTTGGCAAAAAAGAACTTCCGCATGTATTATTCTCCGCAGGTATTTCTCCTTCGACGTCACTTAGCACGTGTCCATAGCATACGCTGTAGAGGTACAACTGAGGCATTATGTTTGTTTCAATGACAACGTGAACTACGCGCTAAGAAAATTCTTTCTTTTGATTGTGTGTCTCTATTTTTTTTGCCCTTTTTTGCTTATAGATAAAAATCATGGCGTAGAACTTTTCTTAGTATCATTATGGACATATTTACGAGTGCTTTTTTTAAGAAATAGGGAAAGTACGGTTACACACGTGTTCTGAAATTAATCAAAAAATAGTTGAGTCACTTGACAAACAGTTAAGTCATAAGTGAAAATGTCGTTATCTATGTCTAATCACGGTAAAAAGTACGTTCGTAAACAATAGATAGGAATGATTGTTTTTTGAGGGACACTGAAATTTTATGGAATTATTTGTACCGTGCAATCGATAAGCTTTTACAGGAACATAGCACTTGAGTACATGGCCTGCAATAAATGCAGTTGTCTAAAAGGTGATTTGCAGTTTTCTCGTCTGCTATTATAGTAATAATCAAACACGATGAGCGGCAAATTGCTGTCAGCGCAGACAAACTGGCTGAAATTGACAGTTCGCTCAAAAACTAATAAGTAATAGAAAAATACATTTTTAGGATATTTTTATCGAAAACCGTATAGTCGCGATCAAAAATGATACGTTTTTCAGTATTCTAAGTAGGAACGGTTGCTGTGTTTTCGTGGAAACTGATCGCATCTAGTATATGGCGCTTTGTCACCAAAACTGTCTATCCAGATGAAACCATTTTCGAATGTAACAGAACGCATGTAAAGTAAACGGCCAAGAAAAATCAATGGGAATCATCTCTGTATACGTCAGTGCACTGTCGAAATCAGTCGTGCCAAAAGAATTGTATATACATGCTCCAATAAAAGTTGGATTATTGCTTTTCACTGAAATCTGTTTTGTCCCTATGTTTGTGATGTACATAAAGATTAGAGAAAGAATAAAATTTTGCATAGATTAGTTAGAAAAACCTGATGATGAAAAATTTATTATTTCATGACTAAAAGATATAAGTTAACCAATTAGTGTAGTGCTTGTATTAACCAAGTAGATTAGTGCGCTTCTTTGGGTTCCATATCAACAAACATGCCCAATACAATAAAGGCACTTTCCAAAATGCCCATTAACAAGATGTCGCGCATATTTCAGTTACCGTCTGTTCAATTCTCCTGTTCGCGCCTTTCTAAATTCGACACATGACTGTCCTGAAAAAGAATCCCATTCGTAGACAACGACATTCTTTTTGGCTTGTTTCCATATGCACCTCAGCGAGTTGCCGCTTCTACTACAATTTGCGCATTGATTCATCTGCACTTTGAACCAGACATGTGTGGTACATCAAGTTGTATCATTGCTTGCTTTATTCAAAGCACTTTCTTAGCTACATTTGTCCCCAATGATTAATTGAACGAGCATTCGCCGCTCTAAAATGCGCCTTCCAGCGACGGTTTGCTTCGATGGCAATCTCCTGAAATGTGATTTCGGGTAAAGCATCCCCCAGAGGCACCGTCTGAATCATCTCTTTGTGGCACGGTCTACACCAGCAGTAGCTTTACCTGTTGCTAATTGCTACGACGCTTTAGACTTGTCTATTTTTCCCTCGGCGTACATCCTTTGAGACCCGCTAGCTTATAACCGCTGCTCTCCAATCGGACGCGGCGAACGCAATGGCATTAAATAGGAGATGAGCAAAAACTGTCGCAAATTTCAAGAGTCGCATGACGAAAAAACTCCTTCCAGCTCTGTTCAATCTCTAGATTTGTTTGAGTAGGCAGATTCTAATGTTTCAGTGCCAATATAACTCGATACGGACCGTCACGACGAAGTGTACTCAATCGGCCATGCCTATCTCGTCGTATTAGAAATTTCCAAAAAGCATCGTTCACTGTCATGGGCGACTAGATCTAACATGTAGATCACGTAAGTTAGCCGTGATGACTGCTAAGGCCATATATTATATATATAATATGAGGGCGGCGTTTGCTACGTCCCACATGTGGCAGCTTACGAAATGAGTCGATATGTAGACCTTAAAATACATTTAGAAGGAATATTCATGTGTTTTATGTATCAAAGGCAAGAATTGCAGAAAAAAAATAGATTTTGATGACCGAAACGCCGCTTAAGGTGTACGTATATATATATATATATATATATATATATATATATATATATATATATATATACGGCGTGCTTAGAGAGGTGGTTAGTTTGTATCTGTTTAATATTTAGCATATTGTTAATGGATTTTTAAAAGTTAGTGAGACGATGGTGTAAAGACTATTAAGTACGATAAGAGTTCTTACCTTTAGAGCGATTGTAGATTCCGTGAAATAATATAACAGGTTCGACTTGGCATTTTATGGCATTTATATAGCTGTTTGTTAGGAATTGTAGCGTTGGTAATTTTTAGCAGCTTGATATTATAAGAGGTATAGAAGAATGTTTTCAAAGTCTCATTTGAACGCCGATAAAAGTAAAACGTATCTAGACCTTAGACTCGAGTCTAATATGATGGTACGGGTGGAAATGCTTAAAAGCGTGACGCTATGAGGAGTTATCATCTTCTATTAACTAATAAATATAAATAGCATTTCTAGTTTGCTTTGTTATTATACTCCATCTGCTTAGCTGTAAGGAGATTAAATTAAAAAAAATCAAGACAGGAGTGGAAAGGTATGATCTAGAATATTTTGAAATCAATTCGACTCTTTCCTTCAGTGCGTTGCTGGTTTTTCCACAAAGCGAATTCCATCTACAGTGATGTATTCAGTCGAGTTTTAGAGAAGGATTAATCGATAGAAGGCGGTTACAATACATACAATTACGAGTCGAAGCGATTGTTGTCCACGTGGTTCCTATCCCATAAAATGCTATCTCTTGATTGTGATCAGTAGACTGTACACTATAGTCGTCTAAAAAAGATCTTAAATCAAGATTAGAAAAAAGCAACGCTACACCATTCAGCAGAGTGAAGAGCGTTGAGCGATTTAAAGAAGCCTAATCAAGCAAGCGCAGTACAAAATCAACACGAAAGTTAGGCCAGCCGTTATAAATTGGGCAACTATTGTTGAGATCTGCGGTAATATAATGAGATGTTAAAACAAAGGAACTAGTTCACGTCAAGAAAAGTAATGCTCACGAACGTGTGCGGGTGCGAAGTTTGCCTGCAGACAGGAATTACCTAATGATCTATTTCTTTGTTATTACCTTACATGTCCGCGTGGGAAATCGGAATCAGGAGCATGGGTTACCTTAATGTCATATGCACCTCAATATAAACTTCTTCCTCGAGTGTACAGAAGACAGATTATCTTCATCGTTTTACCCAGAAGCAGGAACGTATGTAAATTTTGTATGTTTTTTTTAGTACTAAACCTTTACTGGTACTAATCGAAGATAGCGATTTTCACTCGTGATCCCGCCATGTTTGACCGATATCTTATTCTATCAAGGCTTAGGCGCCAATATAAAATATCAAATAATACCTTTCGCATAGCTGTCCGCAAGCATTTGTGAGATCGACACTAACAGAAATTGACAGTTTGCAGTCAGTTCAGTTTCTACGAAATTTCCTGAAGATTAATTGACGGCTTGGTCTATCCTGCTTAACCTTATAACCGTCTATAAAACATATGCAATATGTGTTTACATATTTATATACGTTTGTGTTCTGGCGTATTGGCTGTGGGCATTTCGGTGAACCGTCACTGTGTTGAGAGACGTGCAGAGGTCCTCAAGCTGGCTTGAGAAACAAGCTGATCAAGGGGCTAGGCGGGCTGTATTGTCTTCCATACGTAGCCTGTCTCCACTCGTTATAATTATACAAGTAAATGTAAAGAACAACAGCCTGCCATGCTAACGAGATCGCTAATGGCCATATCCTGCCATGGGTACGTTACTATATAACTGCAATAATATCGGGTGAAATGAAGCGTTGGAAAAAGGATGGTGACCTTTAATTGGCGCTCGGTGGGTGCGGGCGTTCGGTGTGTGTTATGGTGGCTTCCGATGCCAAAAAAAATGTACGGCTGCTTTGTGTGCAGGGCATTTGCTTGTAGGACGAAAAAAGGCGGTTGTTAGGAGCTGACTGGCTGGAAGCAGGGATATCCTTCCTATTTTTTGCTGTGATTATCATTATCCTTGCGGATTTAAAGCCTATAAAGTAGCTACTGGCTTATATAATTATATTAACCCTATAGGCTTGAAGATGGTAGATGGCCACACATCGATTGGTTGGTATTGTTGTTATGCAGCTGGCTTTTACGGGTAACTTTGTGATGACAAGGCCATTGAGGTTGCCGATTAAAAAGAGTTGCCGAAGATTGTGGCCTATACTTTAGGAGCCATTTATAATCGACAAAGTTTGAACAATTTTGAATCTTACTTTATCTGTATTTTTCCTTTATATAGGTCGAAATTGTGCTTTACAACGGCGATTTAAGTCTATATTATATTATATACTGTAACAAATATATCTCTTATTATTATCACTTTTATATATTATATATATATTAGAGATACCTATATTAGAGATTATCATTACTATATTACATATAATACTAATTGCAAATGATCTTGCTAGGACGATGGTGCTGTGTCAATAGCAAATCGATGAAAATGTTTGTATTAATTGATTTTTGCTAATTAACGTCCGCCATCATGCGTAATCAGTCCTGCGTAGCCGTAGAATTCTGTTTTGCACGTTTACATACAATTGCGTTTGCTTAATTAACCAAATTTCAGTATGTTGTATTTAACAACTTCTTGATACGTGAAAACTCAATGCCGGGTGTTAGAAAGGCTGTTCCTTCTAGTACATTGTAGACGTTCGGTAGACTCCCTCATGTTTTCGATTCTGATCGGCACGAAACGAGTAGTGAGGTTTGTTGCGCTGCGAATATTCCATCGTCTTTAATCGTTGCCGCTGTAAGCCCGCATTGTTAGTTTTCTTGGGAAGTAATGCTGTTTTGCTTTATCGATTTAATCTATGAGTCGCTTGACCATGAAGACAGTGGCGCGATCGTCTGTGAAATAAGTCACCACGGTTTTCTAATACGTCGACCGTTGGCTTCTTCAAATAGTTACTGCGGCTCCAGGAAATAGTGAGTTGGATTTGGCCATCATCCTTTCCCATTTTAAGTGTTACTACAATGAATAAAGCTGTAAAATTAGGTAAACTGAAAAAAAAATAGAAAAAAACAAATGAGATAAAAACACATGTAAATAAAATTTACTTAAAAGATTAAAAACATTAGAGCTAAATAAAAAAAAGTGCATATGCAATAAGACTGTATTGCATTGATGAGTAGTATAAATAACTAATATGCTTACTAATGTTCACGCACAGCTATAAAGTCTATCAATAATGGCTTTGTTCTCAGTATACTGATATTTTTCGAATGCTTATCTGCCGCCACCGTGGCAATGATAAGACTAACTTTAGGCCAATTCTAACTGATTTATAAATAACTTAGTTAGAATTGCCCTATATCCTAGACCCTAGACAAGCGTTTTCCGCGTTACGCTCATTCGTCTATATTGTAAATATTGGCGTGTTGGTTCACCAATAAAACGTGTTTTTCCTAAAGGATATATATAGTCTAAGTATAATGGCAATATAAAGTCCGGTTGCTCAACTGAAAGCAAGAGTTAAGCGAATAATCGGAAGAATAAACAATATTGAAAACACTGATACAGTTGTTATTGTTATTATTATTGTTATATTATTATTGTTGTTATTGTTATATTTTTGTGAACGATCGACGTAAATGAGACAGTAATCTGTATACACGAAGTGTGGTAGGTGTACAGATCTGAAATAGTCTCCGTCAAATGATAATATAACCTTTTACTCTGCCGACTTATTCCAACAACTTATTTAGAAATATCGTTTATTTTTGCTTATAATACACATTTGGTTTGTTTTGAAATCAAGCAAATTTTTGTCATGTAGAACGACTCGTTCCTTTACAGTGCTCGCTTGTGTTCGTGTTAGCCGTATCCGGCCGGGCTACTAAAGAAATTTTGGCTTGTACCCGCATCACCGTAGGACGCATTTCTACGTAGATCTGAAACATTGTAGTATGCTACATGTCTTCAGATTCTGTGATGGAAGGGATGAGATGGAAACAGTAGTGCACAGTACGTGTACCATGTATGTCATACACACTATATGCATCATAAAAGATATGGCAACTTTATCACGTCGTCGCGACAAAAACGACATGGTCTCTTCTGCTTCGTATTGTCATTGTTGTCAGTTTTTTCGACTTTCCTTCTGTTTTACCTCGATGTAAGACTTGGATTTTCGTTGCCCTATAATCTACCCTCGTGCCCCGACTGATTGGTTGCCGTCTTTTTCTCCCTTTTCTGAACTTTTTCTTCTAAGCAACGGAGGCGAATTTCTTCACTGTGATATAACACAGAAATTTATATTGTCACTGCTATTAATGATGCTACTGTAGCCACCGCTACACATATCTCATCTACAGATGGTGCTGCCGACTGGTAATAAATATAACATCTTTGTTATTCTTTTGCTTTTGTTTTGTGTTTCTACGTTCACACATGGGTTTGAATTGAAACGCGTTACCGCGGCGCCGAGATTGCTAAAATGTATGCTAATCCGCCAGTCTGTTTGCCGATCAAACTGCCGTGGCATAGGATAGATGTGGTGATCCTGACTCAACTAAGTTTAATGAAGTTTTATTTATTAAATGAAGCAGAAGTAACGGTAGAAGCCGCGCTACCATGATGGTAAACAATTACCACCGAAGCAATGGCCAAACGACCTGTGCACCAGGTTACTGTAGTGACGGAGTTGCTTCGAACGGAGTAGCTGATGCGCCGACGGATTCTCGATTGGCTTCCTCTCGCTATGCAAGGGCCCGATTGCTTTACCAACTGACTCGGCTATCTGTTAGCTTGGTCCGGCCCGGGAATACCTTTCAAGGTTTCCAGTTTAAGGTCAAAATGTGCCAGTAGCTCTAGCAACAGTAGCAACAACGAAAAAGGTTACACTACACCTAGCAACTGCAATGGCACTGTCACGACCAGTAGGGACGCTTAGTATGGCCAACATCATTGTCCTGCTCCGTCCTACAACTAGCTTCAGCACCAAAACCACTAGTGTCAAAACGCTTACCGCACCAGCTGTCTCTTAGAGTGAATGCTAATAAAAAGAGCGATAGACACTGACATTACTTTAAAAAACCGTACGCTGCACGTGAAAATAATAATCATGTGCTATCTTATGTAAGGAATTTTATAACATCCTACAGGACGAAAGAGGTTTGTAGGCGGAATGGAAGACAGATTTAAAGAGAAACTAGGTGTAGACAAAGTATCGTATGACTATCGATCCGCGCCGTCTCGTTTATTGCATTCTTAAGCTTTTAGATTCGGCTCCTTTTGGGCTAGAAGCGTTTCCAAAGGAATGAAAAATCCAAAGAAAAGTTTATTTAGTAAGACTATGATTTCGAAAGGCAGAAAGTTATGGAAAGTTTCAAGCTGTATATGAATAGATAATAGACCTATGATTGCTGTGAGTAGGTGGGAAAAAATGCTCTAACTACTAAATTAACGGAACGTGGAAGTCCTTAACAAATACTAGTCGCAGAAGCAACATTTGCAAAGTTAAGAATAGATCTATAAGATTTCATTTCAAGGAGATATTCATCAGAAGACCTTGAAACCTGTAAAGCTTAATGTGGCTCGGCGCGTGTTAGTAGGTATACTTTACCGTGAACGCGGGAAAATATAATCGTTGAAGCTACAACAGAACAAAGGTTAGAAATAGTAATGACAAAGCTAGCCGAAATTAATAGCTCTCTACCTTAACCAGCCGTAATTTGGTAGCTAGCAAGGCTAGTAGCTCTTGGGATTTCCAACACTATCTATCCTTCGTCACTCAGCGTTTCACATATGCGTTATCAAATGAGATTGACAAAGAGACCCTATATCATTGAAGCTGAAAGTAATCCAATGAATACACGCATACGCCTCATTAATCGTTGTTATTTTTCTTTGTCAAATCAAGCTGTAGTCGCTATATAGTTCGCATTTCCAACAATCTATTGTGCCCTTTAAAAGTTCGATCTAAGTGGTCAACCTGTGATCGGCATCTAATTTGAAAGTGGATGACGGCGCCCACCTCACACTACGCGGGCAGTTGATTTGGCTCTGTCATCATTGCCGATAGTGGGCGCAGCTGTAGGAAAAGTCATAGCCCAACGACGTTTTGACTCGGAACAAATCAATAGCTGTGACCCACTACGTAAGTGTTGTTTGAACCACAGCTGACGGGCGTGATCCGTGTGTACGCCCATCGACGATGCCGC